TTACGAGTCGCGTTCAAGGGAGAAGGTAATTGCAAATAAAATCGCTGGCATGTCCGCCTTTGGGCGATAAAAGACACCCTTCAATGGCATACAACATGCTCCAGAAGCAATCCACATTGTATATCTTCGATCACCATTACCCAGGCTACTTACTTTGTAAACACTTTCATACCGAAGCAGTTAGCTTCACATTTAAGGCTCACATTAATAACATTATTTAACTTGCTTTGCATCGTTTGTACTGCAAGGAGGCTAGAACCAGCCGACAGCACCTTCATCATGATGAAGGGAATAGTGGAAATTGGAAAGTGAAGAGTTACAAAATTGAAGAGTATGACACGAATGGTTGTTGTTGTTGTTGTTGTTGTTGATCGAGTGGGCTGGTGTTCGGACTGCGATAGAAATTTCTTGGCCCTTCTGCATGTCAAACGGTTACAGTACAATGGAGTATTGTGCCTCTTTTCCTCCTTAAAAAAACCCTTCACTGCCACGACTTTGATATTTTATGGGTATAATTCGGATCTTACTTCGGAAAATAAAATATTTTGCCCATATTCACTATTTTTCTTGTTCTATTTTAATTTTAAATGAGCTTTTATATCCTTCTGTACGGTTGGACGGACACGCTATGTGTTTTGTTGGTCCGTACAGAGGATTTCTGTTCGATTTCACGGGACAAATCACTAATGAACACAGGAGAAGGATAACAATCTTCCATCTATTTTAGCGCAGCTATTTCTCGCAGTCTATTGCTACAAACAAGATTTGCTTCAGTTTATCTTGCTTTACTCCCAAAATCAACCCATCATTTAACTACAAATGCATTCTTTAATTGTACAAGTTGTTTCGGTCAGTTTGTGGGAATAAATATACACAAAGACGTTGCAATTTACTTCGCACGCATGCATTCATTTTGGTGAGAAAAGAAGATGGCCTTGCTCACGGTGTTAGTACATTGGCATTTGAAGTGCGCCCTTTGTTCACTGTTAGGTTTTAAAGGTTTAAAATATATCATTCATTTTAATTGCAAAACCAAGGTGTCAGTCCAACAATCCTGCTTGAATTGGCCTTTCCCCTCACCTCCCTTTGCTTAACACCGCACTTAAGTTGCGGGCAATAAAAGTTTAAATTCATTTTCGCATTCAAAGTCTAAACATTTCAAATGCGCGTCATCGCATGCAGCCAATTCGAGAGGGATAGAATGGGGCCGCTGTTTAAGGGCAATTTTGTTGATGCACTGGACTGGTGCAAAACTGGTTTCCTTCCACTACTCTTAACTTACAGAGCAGTATAACGCACGAATGCACAGTGCGAATGCCTGAAAAAGCATGAACAGGGTAGATAGCACATTACTTGTAATCTGATTATGTGCACTCGAGAGGATTTGAGGGACGACCACTACTTTACTTATGCTTAGTGAATAGTCGAAAGAAGTTTTTCACTTGTTCCCCTCCCGAGCAGATTTTTTGGCTCTCCTAAAAATTGCATTTATTACTGTTCTGGTCACAAAATGCTCTGTGCACGTGCCATTTTATATGAATCAACCGGGATCTTTAGTGATGTAGCCTCTTGAGTTAGCATAATGACTCTAACGGCGTTGCCATTTTGCCAGTGAAAACCAAAAGGCTACCGTGCAAAGCACACAAATATTATTTGAGCCAATCACAGTGTTAAGTTACTTAATCCTTTGGTCTCCAAAATAATAACCACTCGAAAGACTGTAGCGCGTACTGCAGCACAAACTCAGACCTTTCAGCATGAGAAGTTCATGCAGCTATACTTAATTCGTTGATGAGCCTGCCTTTCCACTTTGCTTTACAGCATGCTTTTACAAGTTTTATCAGTGTCTATTCAATACTTTTTGAGGTTAGGAATGCAGTATTGCTACTGATTTCTCTACACTGCGATCAAAGCTGCCTTTAGCAACGTCTACTTTTGAAGAAAATTTGTAAGTAGAAGAGCAAAGGGACTGCTCTCCACGCGGCTGACAATTAAAAAGTGCACTTACTTTGCGACTTTTGAGAAGAGGGAGCACCTCTAATTGCAGTTCTACAAATGCATTAAATGGTTTGGCTGGTGAAGCAAACTGTTGTGGTAATAAAACAGGTGTGTTCTAAAAATCCTATGATTTCAAGATAAAGTCAAAGGTCTGAAAAGATAAAGATGTACCACTTATAAAATCGTCTCGATTTTGGACCAATCATGATTAACTGTTGTTCGTATTCGAACATAACTGTACACATTTGCCGTACTGTTTTTACAATTTCGGCAGGTTCAACTAACCTGCCTACATAAAACACCAAAGACGCAAACAGTAGTAATTTCACCTTCCAAATAAAATACAGACTTTATGAGAATGATTAGAAGCTGCACAATTTTTATTGATATTGCCAATAAAGTGCCTGCAACCTGTTGTTAAGTTAGAAGTTTCTTTCGAAAATCCCCGACTTCGGTTGGAATGTGTACTGTTCTGTTGACTTACCGATTGGCTTGTCTGCAACGCCATTGTCAAGCACCTTCCAAAATGAAGATATTCTGGCTTCATTAAATACCGAGGTCATGGATCAAAGGTGCTGCGCATAGTGCGCTAGCCCTAGTTTAGAATCTCATTGTTTTTTTGGTACGCACCAAAACACCTTGAGTCTATGTTAATGTGCTCTTTAGTCAAAAAGGATTGAACTCTGCAAGCCTATTGGTTGTAGTAAGGCCGAATGTCACATCAATAGCCTCCTTCTTATGAAATAGATGTAGGAGTACCTTGGCGATCACCTCTCATCACTCCAAGATGACTTTCCGGGTCATGAAATTGCAGCACCTCCCTGTATTGATATCATAAGTCATCTTAGCAATCAGGATTGGCATATTTTCCGTTTGGACCTTGAATCAGTGTTAATTGAAATGAAATGCGACCGTTAGTTGAAGTCTGGTCCGTACTGAATAGCTAATCACTATGCCTTCTCTTATCTATAAAGAAGGCTCGGCAGACTATATTAAAAATACGGAATGCCACAGTGGAACGTCTTCAAGGTGTCCCCTGCACCTGCATGGTCCACCCATTACTTGGTTAGTTTAATCAATTTTGCAAATTAAAGACACATTTTTCGTTGCTCCAATATAAAATTAAAAACACTTTTACGTAACATCATCTCTAATTATATGGGCACTTTGGACTCCTTGGGTCACACCACCCCCTGTTGCACAGAGCTCACCAATTTTATGTGCGCTAATAATAAATCTACACACACATGTGGTTTTACGACTTCAGGGAAGAGTCAGACACGCAACATCGGTACTCCATGTGAGCTTGTCTCCCAAATGCACCAATATTCATCCATTAAAGCGTTGTAAACCGCTTTCAGTATCATGGAGGTCTGCCCCCAATTTTTTATTTATATTTCCTGGTAAAATCATTTGTACGCTTACACAATTCTTTTTTTAAATATTCAGCAATTAAGTATAAATAATTAAGTAAAATTGTCGCCACATAGGAATGACTTACGGTGAACTCTTTAAGTAGTTAATTAAGTTGTAATTTTTTGGCAGCAAATTTTATGGTTCGCACGACTGGACATTGAACTTCGCAGTCGCCCTAATGTCTGCAGACTGAATGCTCAACTTGTGGTGCAGTCCCCAAGCCGCGCTAGCAGTGCAGTACTTTGATTATATAACTACCTGGTACATGGCGGTTACTTTGGTACTAGTTTTCACGTTATGCACGGGCTGGCCTTTAAGCCATGCCAAGACCCTATTCTCTCCTCCTGGAATGCATGTATTCTGCTTAACGTAAGGCCTTCTTCTTCCTGGTGGGATTTATTCATTTGCTACACTCATTGTAGCGCCTCGAGACTTCCTAGCCTGTATAAGAAGTCAGTAAGTGCAGGTGGAAACATGTATTCCGAAGACGACAGGACAAATGAGCCTGAGCAAGACCTAAAGGCCAGCCCACGTGCACAAGGACCAGACAGATCCTAAAGTGACCGCCAAACGTCAGGTATTCACATAAACAGAGCATTACAATTGGCGCCTTAGGCTCTCTATGTTGGTGGAATGCACATTCATAATGTTCTAATTTGCAAATGCCGTGTGGGAGGGTTTTAGCTCCCACACCGTAGAAATCATTATCCGAATCGAGCGCGCACTGAGTTTAACTCCCAATATGGCACGTTCAAATTTTGTGTAGCAGCCATAATCGGTGTTAAGCAGCAGTTAACTTCAAAGATACGCAGCTTCTTCCCAGTGGTAAATTAATTGCAATCAGATGCGCAGCATGTGCCTGCAAAGACTCTCTAAGCAGCACTTCACACAAGCTATTTATCTACAACTGGCCTAACAGATTAAAGGCATATTTTTTCAAGGAAACATAAAGAGCTACGACCATATATCGTTGGATTCGTTCCATAGTATCTTATGAGTAACAGCTTAAACTCCGATCATACAGCTAGGCTACAGCAAAAGTTTTGTCACAGTAGTAAAGCTATGGCATTTAAAAATTTAGATTTATTATGAGGAACTGTTGTAAACACTCGTTATGGATTCCAGTGACCCTGAGTTATTTATCTGAAATAGCCTTCATTGACGAATAGTTTTGGTACCCTTTCGCTCTGCCGCGAGCGTGGTAGTCCGTTGAAGCCTGTCGAGTCCATTCTTTGCGTCTTTTGTGGGCGTGGCTTGGCTTCCAAGGGCTTTTATAGTCAACTTTATCAGCTTGTTTTCGATTTCGAGAAACAGTCATGCATTTCAAACCTTTAAAACCATAACTATTGACAAAATTTTGAGAATTTGCTCTGCGAATTGGCATAAATGACCAGTTCATAATTTGTGTCTTGATAACTAGGGTCATTTCTTGCCACATTTTTGTTGTTAGCTTTTTATCTTGTTTGTGGCTAGTTCGGTAGCGTGTTAATCCCCAATTTCTTTTTTAATAACACTGCTGTTTGCAGTTCCTTTTTGTAACCTCGCTTATACTAATGATTTATTCTGCAGTGCTATCGTTCGAAACAATGGCCGTAAACGACAGTTTAGATGCCAAAAATATTGTTGATCATCACATTGGATTCCTTGGCTCTGGCTTGATGGCTCAGGGGATAATCAAGGGTTTTCTCAATTCTGGTGACTAATCACCTCTTCTATGCGATTAATGATGTTCTCGGCTTGGCCAAAGTTGTCTACAATATCACTATGAGTTTTCTCAAAGCTTGAGTATTGTTTAACCCCTACTGAAGCTAATGTTTTTTTCAGTATTGTTGCATAAATATGTTCGTGAAAGCGCTTTTCCTTGCTACCCTAATATTTCTAATAACCTTAGGTCTTATCAAAGGGTTTCAAGTTACAATGTCTGACAAGTTGGGTCCAGGACAACCAGTGAGTTTAATTTGTACAAACTCATTTTTTCGCTGCAACTTATTCATTTATTATCGACTTTAGGCCTTCAAGTCCATTGAAGATATCGTTAATGTAAGTACAGCGTTCTAACCTCTTGTCAAACTTTGTGCATTCGAAATTCTCTCCATTTTTTTGTTTGATGGTTGGGTGGCCACCTGCATAGCAATTCGGAGTTGAATACCTCACAGAGAACGTCCCAATGGCCGCCAAAAGTGACGTCATTTTCCTTTGCGTGAAGCCGAACATGGTTCAGACAGTTCTAACAGAGTGCGCTTGCGCGATGGCTGGCAAGCTTGTGGTCTCAATAGCTGCTGGCATCACAATTGAGACACTAGAGGAGGTATTTCCTCTTTGCTCCTCTTTTCTGTTTCTTTCCTTCAAGACTTAATTACCCTGACTCAAAACTTGTGTTCGTATTACCTGTTTGGAGGGATCCGACCCGTTTCTATCAAAATGATTGAACCTTAATTAATAATTGCTCCACAAATAGCCTTCGGTCGCTTAGTTATCGTTTTCATACATGACCTTCATCAAGTTAGTTGATTTATAGAGTTTTACTGAGTTCCTTCTACTCTTCGGTTGTAGGCCTTACCAATGGGTACCCGCGTTATTCGAGTGATGCCAAACATGCCCTGTGTTGTTCAGCAGGGCGCAGGCATCTTCGCCCGTGGCCATTGCACTAGTGACGCGGATGTCCACCTCATGAAAACTCTTCTCTCTGTCATCATTCCTGTTCTTGAGGAGATCCCCCAGTATCAATTCAACGCCGCCACTGCACTCTCCGGCTGTGGGCCTGCCTATGTAAGGTCCACGGTCTACGAGTTTTTATGTTTGGCAGATATTTCAGGCACCTATGCCTTCACTCGCTGCAGGTCTGTCTAGTAATCGAGAGTCTCGCTGATGGGGCTGTGCGTCTCGGTCTGACTCGTGACATGGCACATCGACTGGCTGTACAGACGGTCCTTGGTACAGCAGTGCTGGTCCGCGATTCTGAAATTCACCCAGCTCAATTGAGGGTTTGTTTACAATAAGCGCAGCCATGGCCTGAATAATAGCATAGCTTATTGGAGAATTTTATTTGTTCTTTGCCTGAAAGTGCTTTAACTAAGGTTGCTGTTCGAAAAATTTAGCTTTATTATAGTCGGTGTGCGACCTGCTGGTATTCGAAAGATTTCCATGTTAATCCAAATACTATTTTTGGACTATGATTTTAGGTAAATTTTGGTTTAAATGCTATCAAACTTATGTAATGATGGAGAGTTCTCTCATCATCCATTGCTTCCATAGTTATAGTTCCAAGTAGTTGTAACTGGTTTGGAATTATTATCATCTTCGACATTTTGGGCAGGTGATGGCATGAGTCTTACATTGTAGGATCAAATCTGCTCTCCAGGCGGTAGCACCATCGCAGGAACCTTTACTTTGGAGAGGGCAGGTGTGCGTGCTGCTTTCAGTGCATGCATTGAAGCTGCCAAAATTCGTAACGATGAATTAGGATCTCCGAAGAAGTAGGAGCCTTTCATCATCGTCGTCTTGGTTCTGCTGTGTCCACTTCCACCTTAAATTGTTGCTATTTTCAGACCAACTGATGAGCGGCCTTTTATTAGCAACCTTCTCTCAAGCTATTGTTCCCTTCAGTTTTATTTTTCATTGCAATCCGCCAGAATGAAAGCAACCTCAATCGAGGAATCGAATTCGTGCATGAATGATAAAAATCTAGCAGTCAGCTCTCTAATTATGCAATTTCTATGTCTGAATTTAAGTATTTGCATGCAATATGGGCATTATCTCTTATTTATGCATCCGAGGAAACTAGTTTTATGGGTGTACTTTTGTACTGTTTGCAATGTTTCTCCATAAGGCCCAGCATCACAATATTGTAAGGTTGAAGAACCTAACAGAAAGGAAAACATGTTTCGCTTGAAGAGGCGAAGTCTGCATAGCAAATGGCTTTGCTAGCTCTCACGTGAAGAGTCTGTCAGCAGGCGAACTGGTATCACTCGGGCATTTGGCATCATCTTGAAGACCAGCATATTGACATAAACCAGCAACAAATTCAAACGCATCTAGGGCTGGTCACAAGGCGGCTGGTGTGTGTGAGAGAGATTCAACTCCAGGTATTGGACACATACTTGTTAATTCTACTTTGCTGCACTTCTAATTAATCTTGTCGTTTATACTCGGTAAATGGAAACTATTTTTTCATATAATAATGCTCTGAACCCATGCTGGCAATGAAGTAGGTAAATTACGTGCCACCCTGAATCTTTGTCCTTTTTCCTAGCTTAAAGTGAGTGGAAAGCATCTGCAGTACAACTACTATGCCTGGTATCATTCTCGTCACAAATCACATTTGCTTAGGAGGTGAGTGTGCAGGAACCGTTCTAATGCGAGCGAAAATAGCCACTTTTTTGTTCGCTAGATCTTCAGCTAACCTGGGGCTTGCGTTAAAACGATGAATGGCACACCAGAAGTTCCTTCTTTGTCTAAATAAGCTCAATGTTACTTGTAATATATGTTTACTATTGTTCGGTTGTGCTTGTTTACCCAATAGAACATGGAATATTTGTTTTAGTGCTGATTACTCCGTTCTCTACGGGACATACATTACTTAACTTATATGAGTAACGAATTCGAACCAGGTGTTGGATGCTATGTTGACCTCGACAGAATGAGATGGTACGATAAATGCAAAGTGCTTTTAACACCATCAAGTTTAATGAAATTGTTATCTCTATCAGAGGTCAGACCTGTTCTATGGAGTTTGTGCATTTGAGTTTATGCGCGCTCCAAGCCCTGATGTAATAGCAATAGGTTGTGGAGAAAATCTTGACCACCGCACTTGTATTTAACGATTTCATTACTGATCTTATTCCTGGAAAATTTGAGTTTAATTTTCGCATTCAAGTAGTTCATACGTAGCTGGCTGATCTTGGCGGCAGTCATGTGTGAACCTCCACATAAACGTAAACACCATCACTGTCTTTGAATTAAGGTGACTAAGGATGTGGATAAGACTGTCTGGTTTTAAATTCTTGGTGGAAAACCTTCCTCCAAACTCCCCCTCTCCCCTAACATCCCATAGAAAGGCCTATCAACCTTCCACTCCTTAGTCCTATGTCTGTTGTGAGTAATGCAGTAGGATGAAGACTTCTCATCATCGTCATCATCACCAATGCGCCCTCCTCCTTCAAGTGCTTGAATCGGCGCTTTGAAACTCGCTTAGGATTATCCAGCTAGTTGTTTGATTCCGCCAATAAATCTGTGGGCAGAATTTGCACATCACATTGAGGTTCTAACGTGAGGTCAAGTTTTGTGAGCCATTGCTAGCGTTAGCGCTCAACCCATGCCCTTCCGGTTGCATGCATAAGCATAACTCCTTGTGCTGCTCTAATCGATGCAGCGAGAATACCTTCTAAAGTCGTCTAAAAGGCGTCACCTAATTCGTTCAGTGTCTGTGGTTTGAGATTTTACCCTAAGCAAGGGTGAGTGGTGAGTCATTTCGCGATCCCGATTTTCGGTACCTCTTCTGAGGTTTTAGTCTAAAAAAATATTTTTGCGCGTTCGCATCTACGGAAGCCACGGCATTAGAGTGTTGGTTCCTTTACCGCATTTAGCAATTTATTATTTTATTTGCTGGCTTAGTGATGTTCTCCTACCAGTTAACTTTAGCAAAGTAGACAGAGCTCAACAACCCAGACGACCAAATAAGCTTCTAGAAGAATTATCCATTTCAAAAGGTAGTTGAGGCTTCTTCGATCAGCCTGCCTGAGTAACAACAATAGTCCACATGATTTCATGGTTTACTTAGTAATTTTACAGCAATCTCTCTACAGTCCTTACTATTGTAAAATCAGAAATTTTGGATTTCACTTTAAACAGTGGTTTGGTATTTGCAATGCAGGAGTGAAATCGAAGTTCAAAGGCAAGAAATGTCATTTTCTGTACAAACTGTGGATTGCGCTATCTGCTGGTAATACTGCATCTCAAAGACTTAGAGGGAAATTTATTGTGTAGTTACCTTTGTGATAAGTTGAGGAGGAAAACCTTCCATTGCCACGCAATACTCCTCATCTAATCTCACACCTTTTATTATAGCTTTTGTAAAGGAAAAGTATGAATAATTGAATTGCAGCCCTAATGCAAATTTCTCTTATTCTGTATTCCACTTTGTTCATTAGCTATTCTATTACCCATTTTCCGACAATTTCCATTCGTTAGTTTCATTGACTCTAGCAATGTGCAGAGAGGAGCACTGTGGCAATGTAGGTGCCACGAAAGATTGGAGCAGAGGGAGATCAGGAGTGGTGAATTGTTAGCTTTGGTGCAAGATTGGTTATTTAAGCCTTATGGCAAATTAGTCATGTGGTGGAATGCCTTCTCGTCTCTCCACCGTCCCTCCTCCAGCCACAGCAGCAACCTTCTTTTTGGACGTGAGCGCTGCAACTGCACCGAATGGTGGACACACCTCGAAATCAGACCTTTCAGTCAGTGGGTTGTAAGCAAACGATGACCCTTGCTATAACTGGCGATCCATCAAAGACGAGATGGCGTCTTCTACAACGCATTTATCCTTAAACATCCAGCCGAGCACAATAACTAATGAATGACTGCTACTTTTAGGATCAAGGTAATACAATAGAGAAACCTTCACTAAAAGATACTGAGTGCAATTAAAGGCGAAATTCCAAACATGAGATGCTAACCAGACCGATGAAATCTAACCATCGGGACATCAAGATGCTAATCCTATCTACGATGAAGGTTTCGACCGATGGAACTGCGGATATATTCATCCAAGTGGAGAATGTAATGTTCTGTCCGCACGCTTGTGATATGTATGTGGAATGAGCGCCCATCATTCCTACATCTCGAACCATTTCTCCCTCCGAGGGGATGAAGATTGACAGTAGTTATGAAATCTAGCACAGACTGCAAGCATGTAATTTCCCATGCAATGCGATTTTAAATGTAGCCGAGGCAGTTGGAGGGCTAACTTCACTCTAGGACAGATCAATGCGAAACCTTTTGTTTGTTCAGCTTAACTCCTATTGCCGTAGCGCTTCTTCTACCATCCTCGTTGTTATCGTGGAAGCAAAGACAATCGATCACAGCTATCCATCCCTGCTACTGGCGAGAATAACGCACTTTCAGTGTTCGATATGTTGGACATGCGCGTCTGACCAGCGGAATGACTAGCAGCAAGTTGAACCAATGTAAGTAGTTCTAGCGCAGACGTGAAACTGCACAAGCAGTCTTCGCTCAATTTAACCAAAAGCAATCCTGAAATTGATTCAATGGCAGTGTTGAACGGCGCATCAGAGAGGCTCATACCCAAGATAGCGTCGTCGGCAGATGTCAGCCATAGCTAAAAGCGTTCCATCTCTAGACAATTTCCGCCGAAACTGCACTCAATTGCCTGATAGATGAAATAAGACAAAGCATAAAGACAAAGTACCGTTTACTCGCGTGTGTTAGTACACATTATTCCCAACAAATGTTACTACTAATAATTATGTGAAATTAACAGAAAATTCCAGCTGCTGGGCAGAAACAATTGATCGTACAAATAGAAAGTCACGTGAGGGTTGCAGGATTAGTAGCACCTTCGGGAAATGAAGAGAGGAAAGAGGCTGTGAAATAACCCATAGAATCGTGCTAACAGGTCGAGTGTCGACGTCAAGAAGGTTTAAAATCAGATATCTGTTTGAAAGACTGTTAAGGAAGAAGGTTGTTTGCGAGTAACTGATGATGCTGCTGCTACTGCTTCTGCTGCTCCGCAGCAACCGTGATATTCTGTACTTCCAGAGTACTTCCGCATTATATCTGGCCAAGTGAAGTAGCCGAATTGAAGGAGCAGGGACAAACTGTACAGAAGGAAAAGTACGAGTTCAGCGCAAGGAGGCGGTGGTCGAGCGAGAGGTGGTAGTAGAGGCAGAGGAAGAGAGAGGCGCACTGGGTACACAATCGTCACCGTCGAAAATTGTTGGAAAGTCTGTGATCAATCGATTAACCACTGCCTGCTCAAATTTGGCCCCAGCTAGGCAACTCAGCGGATCCGTGTAGGAGGAGCTCATCAGACTTGGTGCGAACACGATAGCCAGATTTTCCGACGACATCATGTTTGTGTGTTGGTGCTCTGCAACCCTAGTGATGCAAGGACTTTTTAGTGCACAAATAAACTGGAAATGCAATGTATTCAAATAGCCCACTCTTCTTCGATGTTGCTTGACCAATGAGATCCTACGATAAAAAATATGTTCCAAGGCAAGTTTCGAGGTATCCGAAGAGTCTACTAAACCTACCAGACTGATGTCGCAAGTTCAACTAAATGGTTGAAGTTTGTTTACTCTTAATCAGGAAGTGTCATTACGATGCCAGTCTCCACCAAAAATGTGGGATGAATTAAACAACTTTGTGGGGTATTGATTGCGGAGAAAAGTCTCCGAAAGAGCGTTAGATTCAATGGTTGAAAATGATATAGCCGTTAGTACAACCACATATCCTGAAAGCTAAGGTCATCTGTAAATTGAGACAATGTCAGATTGCAAAAACAACGTCGTCGAAACTCGACGCCTATGGTTCTTGTGCATTTGAAGAGCATAGTAGGAATGGCACGCAAATCTCGGCCTTCGTGTGGAAACGATGGCTCTTATGTAATACTACAAAGGATAGCAATTTGTTAATACCTGTTCAAGTGGCCCATCAGGTACCGGAGGCAATAGTAGTGGGCCAATGGAAGCCGTTGGATGCAACCCTTGAGAAAGTCGTGCTTCTGCTCCTCCGAGAGTTGTTCATCGCCTTCAAGAATGCAACAGTGGGCCGGTAAGCCATCATGCAAGCAATCTGATAACCAATGTTCGGATATTGAATGTGCATTATTGGTGTAGGCAGTGTATTATAACTTCACACTAGTCTTTGGGAGGCATGAAACACTGTTTCGAAGAGAAAAAAGTTATAAGAGCTAAACCAATGTAACTACCCACATTGAGGTTCTTGTGTGAATTATTAGCCGAGTTAGTGATTATAAGGACTTAAACAATGTATGATTTGTGGGAAATGACCCACTTGTATGGCTGACGTATTATCTATCAATTTATGCAGCCAAGAGAAAGCCAATTCATGTTACATGAAAGCACACAGTTACAATAAGAAGCCGATGTGAGCAACAGCTTAACGATGATCTATTTAGGCATTGAGACACAGAGGAAAAATAAGGGGGCATTCGCTGATTAGACAGTGGACATTCAGAGACATTCGTGCACAATAACCTCTATCCTAAGAATCGGGAGAAGATTTGAATCACCTACATGGAATCGAAAAAACACGGCACATCGCAGTGGCTAAGGCAATGTACGTCTCGTTATCAATTTGCATGGAAGATAGCAGCCAGTCGCTACTGTTACTGCCGAATAACCTGATATCCACTTTAAATAGAGTTAAAGCAGTGAAATCGGAGTTATTAATATTAAATCCATTTGACAAGTAGTGAAAGAACTATTTCTACTTTCGTGGCCATACGTTGATGGTGTTTTAAAAAGTGCTTTTAATGATGGAAGTGCGCAGGTGTTAAGCTCAAAGATGAATGCAACGTAGCTATTCACATTGTAACGGCGGAAAATGTTCAAGTGTGAATTGTATTAAAGTAAACAGGGTGCGAAGAGGATTGGAGTAAATCCTCTTCAGATGACAAAACCAACAAAGATCTGAGGCAGGAAAAATCGAAGCAGATTTGGTGGGACCCACTAGCTTCAGTCAATAAAGACTAAACGATAGAAGACTGTCATACCAACGTCGGCACCACCGAAAAAAAGCTTGCCCCAGAATACAAAGCTGCAGACACGGCAAAATCAAAAAGCAATGGACGGTGCATCGAACTCGCCGGTATAAGTAGCAGGAGAAGGGTGCATACATGATTTTAGAAGGCAAGACACACCGACCAACAGGTTCTTCGAGAATGGCTCTGTGCAGACAAATACATCTTGAACATGCACACGCAAAAAACAGCTGTGAAAATGATGTTATGTTGTGTGAGGGAAAGAAATGTGGAGAATTATTCAAGTGATGCAGTAAGGAACATGTGTACAAAACATGGAGAATAACGCCCAGATGCCGATAAAAAGAGCGTACAATGAATAGATGCAAGAAGCATAGCAGTGTATTGTCATACTTTCGTGAAAGAACAGAAGATGGAGCTCAATGAATGCCTACCAAAGACAAAAAAGGAAAAGTCATCGATCAAGCCACGTAAAGTATTAGGCGGTAGAGAAAGATCAAATCGCCAGTTGTAAGGCCTGTCGAGGGTGGAATGAAATAAGAAAAACTGACCACGTAAGAGTAGAGAATACGTTAATAAACTACTTTTGCGACATTATGAGGAGGACTTTTGGTGGAGCCGCATCTTTCGACACTAACAATGGAGAATGTCAATGTAAACGCAGCATAGTTGCAACAATTGTTACCTAAACCCAATTTGGTGCATTTCTTAGTTTGGTTTAAATCGGTAAAGTGACCACAATAGTAAAAGCCGTACCAAATTAACAGCATTTGGGAGATGCGTCGCAGAGGAAAATCTGGGTGGCAAAAAAAGGAACACAATTCTAGAATTTTCTGCTTCAAGGAGACGTGGACAGGCAGATGTAAAAATCTCATTCAGGAATACCCGACTTGCAAGATGAAAGAAAACACTAATGCCCATAAGCTGATCAGCTGGATTTTACCTAACATCTCCTTTACACGTAATTAACTCGGAAAAAGGGATGCTCGGGTACAGTTAGAAGGGCTTGAGCCACGCTAACGTGAGTGGAAGAGAAATAAAGATCGACACAATGACGTGTTTGCCCTAAAATCGGAAGTTTTAGTTTTTCTAAGAGTTGAAAACCTTTTAAGACCGAAACGAAAAGCTTAACCATCAGTTGGCAGACAGCGGCAGCAGTTCAAATTCTAGGTCGACAGTACTGCATTATCATTGCAGTCTCGGTCGACTTCAACCAAACGAAAAAAAATTAAATTACTTTACCATGCATTCGTCGCCTACTACACGCATTAAATAGGTCTACCTATAAACAAATGGTTTGGCCTACCATATGAGAAGGCTCAAAATGATCGGCAAATGATGGGAATATCAACAGTAAAATGCAATTTTCAAAGAACGCTTGTCATTGGAGAGAAAAGGAGCAGTATGACAAAGCATTAGGACACCTCGAAATGGTCAGTCTCCACTTTTTTCCAGCAGTACCCAGGCTCCACAAATATACCGGTACCACTGAGTCACTGGAAGAAACAATAGCCGGAAAGATGGGAAGTCCAACTCTTCTTCCGTGAAACACGGTCAGCTTCTTTCGATTTTTTCTCCAGCAAACGCCCAAAATTTAAACAAAAATACGTTTTACGAAAAAAACAGGAAGCTTTAAAATGGGAATACCAAGAGGCTATTATCGTGGCTACGTCCTCGCTGCCAAAATTAAAAATACTTTTGGAAAGATGGCAAACGTTTTACTTAAGGCTTAATTAGAAGATGGTGATGACCTCCTTGAACTGAACAAAGAATGTTTGATATGGGTTTTAAAAATTTGTTGTATGCTCATTAGCTAACTTTTCGTGGTTAGTACGACAGAGTCGGTGGGGATGAAAAACACACATTACACGATTCGAACGCGCCTCCGAAGCAAAAGTATGCAAACAACTATAAAAGCAGTGGAAGTTGGATCTCAATATGCGCGATTTGCCATGTGATTATCAGGGCAGAAGAGCAACACAAAATGATTCATTGAGAAGTGTTGAATTACAGCGAGTCCGCTGAATTGTCACAGAGCAACAGTTAAGGCGCAAAATACCGTGCTTTCAACTCTGGACAGCATGCAGAATTCAATAGAGGGAGCGGCGTTGCAAAAGGGTACCAACTCACGGGCAATGTCGATGAGTTCAGGATAGGCCTCGTAGGTGATGAGAGGAATCGGTAGTTGTCGAAGAAATGACTTGATAAGACTTGTAATTGTATTCAAATCGTTGCATCTCTTCTCCGAGAGATCCACTGATTCGCAGTCTAAAACAAAAAAAACTTTGCATGTTTACACAGTCAGTGTAGTAAGTAGAGATCGTGCAATACCTCACCTAAGTTTAAGCCAAAAAATATGCACGTTATCGGCAACTTGTCATAGTGGAAACGACGATCGACGGTGAAAAGTTTAGTAAATCAAAAGGTCTGTGAAAATCCCCCACAGAAGCATTATCAATAAAAGACAAAATTAGAAACCAACAAATAGTACCAAAAACAATCGTCCTAAAATCGGCGCGAAATGTAATCAAAATATGCTAGAGAAAATATTTAAAAAATTACGGAAAAATATGCGAAAACATGATACGCTCTAAACGTATCCTGCATCTCTAACATCACAATGAATTCTAGCCTAACATTCAGCAGCACAAAAATAATAAAACAAAATTGACTTCGTAACCAACTGAAAAGTAAGGCAATTCAAAGGAGAGGCACGCTGCTAGATTGCGTACAGACAGCAAAACGAATGTCTAAAATAAAAGATATCTCAGAAACGACCCAGACAAGATAGAAAAATAACACCCAAAACAGCAATTAAATTATGTACAAGGTTTGATAAGAAAAACAAAACACTGTGAGCAACTTTTAAATCAAGAAGAGCAAATATCAAATAACTGCCAAATGCTAGGCAGCAAATATTATATCACATAAGCGATAACTAGAAAAAAAAACCAAATAGTTGCCATCAGTATCAAAGTTGCCCGCATTCAAATAAAATTAACATGTACATGTGACAAACGGAATTGCACCTAATCGTGTCGACAACATTAGAAGAACGTCAAAGGCCGTAGTTTAACACGGCATTATCTTGATGTCGTCATGTTTTCATCCTAGCTCATCCTTCCATCCATTCTCCTGACAGACCCGCTAGCAGAGTCTCGGGGGGCTGTTGGTCACCACAGCGCGGACATTTTGCCGTTCCATTGAGAAACCAATTGTGGACAACTTTTGTGCTATAACACGTGAAATGTTGTAGGCGAATTAGGTGG